AAACGGCTTCACGGACCGGCCACCGCCGTTGTCGACGCAGAGCTCGGCACACGATGAACCCGGGCGCGTTCAGTGCCAGCGCGCGCGCGACCGGGGCTTCACGCGCGGTCCATCACGTCTCCGTCGGCGCCGGCTTCCTACTATCCGCACATCAGCGAGTTCACGTCGGACGATGAGTACACCGAGGATGTCTTCTCTGACGCGGACGATGAGCGGCCCAACACTGGGAATGGCGAGAGTTCGTTCTCGCTGGAGAGCATGATCAGGCCCCTGGCGCAGAGCACGCGGACGGGTATGCGGCGGCTGACGGGCGGTCGTTCGCGCGAGGGGGACCGCGCACGCGAGCTCTTCCGCGAGCGGACAGCACCCTCAGCGCCGATGCCCAAGTTGCCGGCGGGGCTCTTCTCGCCGAAGTCGATACAGCAGCCCGGCAGCGATAAGATCTAGGGGATACATATTGCGGGAGGTGTCGTGTCCCGAAGCAAGGCGAAGAGAAAAGAGGGTGCATCAGCACGGCGGTAGACTACAGATCGTATTGCGGATGATGGTGGGACAAGGCGAGGTCAGAGAAAGGTGGCCCCACGTGGGCGTCGGTGGGGTCAGTCGAACAGGGCCCGACTGCGTATGTAGGTGCGATTTTACGAATGATAGCCTCGGGGGCGTTGGAGTTGGCAAGGCGTACCTTTTGGTCGTCAAGAAATCAGATGATTATTCACCACACGTCTTGGAGGCGTATCAGCTCTGCTTCTGTTCTTGGACATGATGTGACATTGTGTATGAAAGTAGGACTAACGCTGAAGTGGGATCCGTCGCTTCGCAGAGCCTTGGCCAGGACAGCCACGAGAGAACGCCAAAAAAAAAAAAAAAAAAAAAAAAAAAAAAAACCAGAGGTGAAGCACGACGCAGAAGGAAGGGTGGGAAGAGGGGGAGGAGTGGGAGAAAGCACAACTAGTAGCGATGCCGCGTCGAGTAATCCTTGGGGCTGACGACGAGACCCCTGCCCTTCTTGGCGCCGCGGTAGACCGTCTCGATAATGTCAATGAGCTCCTGCTTGTCCTCGAGGACCCAGTTGAGCTTGTTGTTGTCGCCGGTGCCAAAGTCGACCATCATGTGCTTGTTGCGGAAGAAGAACATGACGGTGCAGGGGTCGTAGAGCTCGTAGAGCTGGTTGAAGTCGGGGACCTGGTCAATGTCGCAGACGTAGCAGACGGCGAAGTTCTTGACGCGGTCCTGGATGCGGTAGAGGACCTCGTCCTGGCGCATGCAGGCCGGGTCCCAGTCGCGGCCGAAGCGGATGACTACGAGGCGCTCTTCTTCGGAGAGGATGGCTTGGTCCTGGGGCCGGGGGAGATGTGTTAACAGCTAGTTGAGGAGGAGGAGAGAGGAGGGGGGAGGAAACGTACGACGTGCCAGCCGCTGTTGAGGTGGGTCAGGACGACGGAGCCCATGGTGTGGTAGGTGGCGAAGCGAGAAGAGAGTGCAGAGAATGCGTTCGGATTGTCTTCGAGTCGAGGTTCGCGAGGTGATGGAGACTTATCGCGTCGTACTTGAAGTTGAGGCAGGGAAGAGAAAGCTATCGAAGATGCAGACGCCGGCAGAGAGTGACGTTTGGAGGGGCCGATATGGCCCCACCAGTCCAGGCTGGCTGCCCCTCTGTTACCCGCCCCGCTAAGCTCGACTCGGCTTATCGCAAGCGGTCTCGCGAGGCAGAACTTTTTATTTTCTGGACGGTCGCTCTTGCCCAAGCTCCATCACCAGTTGGTTGTCCGAGGGCGTCTATAGTCTATTTGAACCAACGTGCATACCTTTTTCTTCAAGGTAGACTACCGACGATGGTCAAGCGACAGCTTCGTGACGCCGACGCCGCTTCTGCCGGCCGCAAGCGCCAGAGAATAGTTGTCGAAACACCGACCCATGAGGACGTCAACAATGCGAGACAGCTGAGGCAGCTGCTTGCCTTTGACCAGGACGTCAAGCGCGCGAGGCATGGTACGATGTGATGCGCCATGATGTTGGTGTTTCATGGCTACGATCAATTGGCTGACCCAGATACCGCTAGGCATTCAATCCTTCAAAGTCTTCCTCGACAGCTTCAGCGCCACCCCTAGCGAGAACCATGACCGCTTCGCCATCCTGTCCGAATACCTCGAGTCGACGAAGCCGCGAATCTTCACCGAAGCGACCGTCTACCAGACCGACCTCATGGAGATGTGGGGCTACGCTTCGGGCATTCACAACGAGAGCATCACGGCGGCCGTCCCTGCCGTGCTGGCGCTGCTGCTGCAGGTCATCTCGAGCTCCCTCGAGCTCCTCCCCCACGCGACCGGCATCGGCCAGACCCTGCTCCAGGACCGCCATCTCAAGCTCATCTCGCGCAACCTCTCGGCGTCGAAGAGCAGCGGCTACATCATCTCGCCCACGATGCGCCTGCTACGCGAGGTGGCGTCCATCGACGGCGGTGCGCTCGCCAAGAAGGTGTTCCGCGCCCGCGACCACACGTTTGCCTCGTTTGCGCGGAACCTCGAGGTCCGGAACTCGCTCGAGGCCGGGCCCGAGGACCCCGCCAAGCCTTCGGTCCGCACAAACGCCATCAAGCTGTTCTTGACGAGCTTGAAGTTCCTGCCGTCGGACTCCAAGAAGGAACTGCTCCTGCAGAAGGAGGTCATGTCCCACCTGACCTTCCTGCTCAAGGACGATCCGGCCTACCTCCTCGTCGAGATGCTCGAGGCTCTGAGGAGACACGTCCTCGCCGACGACAAGGTGCCGCGCGAGGCCAAGTTCAAGGCCTTCAACACCAAGACGCTCGATCGCCTGGCGGGCCTCTACTACTACAAGCACGACGACGAGGTCGAGGGCCGCCTGACGGTCAAGGACGCCGTGCACCGCTTCCTGACCTACGTCTGCACGACCCCCGGCGCCGGTATCCTGTATACGGGCACGGGTATGTACCCCAAGGACCTGGACGACGAGGCCACACAGGACGTCAAGGACACGGACGACTTTGCCTTTGAGCGCGCCGCCTGGGTGGACAGGTACACGGAGGAGGTGCCCGTGGCCAACTTTGTGCTCGACGAGTTCATACAGAAGATGCGCCCCTGGTCGAGCCTGCGACACAGCGAGCTGCTCGTGTCCGTGTTCGAGGCGGCGCCCGAGCTCGTCGCCAGCTACTTCCTCGCCAACAAGTCCTTCTCCTTTGAACCCAAGCTCTCCATGACCTGGATCGGCTACGCGGCCTTTCTCTTCAACACGGTGCAGCTTCCGATCCCCAGGTACTTTGGCAACCGATCTGGCTATCGCCGCGTCCCCCCGCCGACCATGGTGCTGCTCGACAACATTATGCCGTTGCCGCTGAAACAGAAGGACCTCATCAGGAGCCTCTCGCACGACGCACATCTCATTTCCTTCTTTGCCGTACGCATCCTGGTCCTCGCGTTACAGAAACTGGACCGGGCGCTGCACATGCACAGGGAAGCAGCGGGCACGAACAAGACGATATGGGACTCGGCGGCGCGCAAGCTCGTGGACGAGTTTTGCCAGAGGATACCGGACATGAAGGAGGTCACAAAATGCTACAAGACCATTCCCGAGGCGAACGTCCTGCAGAGGGAGGCGACGAGCCGCCTGCTGCTGCTGTACTACGAGGTTATTCCCCAAATGGCGCTCATGGCCAACTTTGACGTCTCGCCCTTCCTCTTGAACGCCCTCCGCCGACTGGACGAGCAGAAAGAGAACGAGCAAGAAAAGGCGCTCGGTCTCATGGAGCTCGAGAACCTGCTCGCCATTGCCGGCTACTCCCCCGGCATGAGGTGGTTCGCCAAATCCGAGGCCCTCGCCGCCTCGCCCTTCGTTGCTCTCCTCCGTGTCTACGTCACGTCCAGCCAGGGCCATGCGCTGACCAAGCTGAAGGAGGTGCTCCAGTTCGTCGCGACGCAGAACAGCTTGTCCAGGCGCCGACTGGGTTGGGCCTCCTGTTCCGCACGCCGCAAGAGCTGCGCAAGAAGGACCTCAAGCCGTTTTGGGTCTTTCTCGACAACTGCGCCAACAGGTGTGCCGGCTCGCCCCTTAAATATGTGGAGTTGATGGAGGAGATTGCGAGCGAGGGACAGACCGCAGAATGGGGCCCCATCAGCTTGCTTCTGGTGACCATGGCGGAGCAAATACCCTTTGCCGTCAAGGAGGCTAGTGCTGATGTTGTTGAGCTCTTTGCCAAGGTGTTATCATCACTTCTCGGTTATGCCAAGGCGGCGAACGAGGACCCCGCCATCATCGACCTGCTGGCGCAACGATTCAACAAGGCTTTCGCCGGTACAACGTCACAGGTCAAGGCTAAGTTCAAGGGCGCCCTGCTCGAGGGCGATCTGGCGACAGCGAACGGCCACAGCGGGACGGCCGTCTCCAGGCCCACGCCCACGACGACAGGCCAGACCGCCGTCAAGGAGCTTGACGACGCGGCCCTCGAAGCAGCTCTCCACGTCAGCTTTGAGCCCGAAGAAGACAACTCGGCCCTCCTCAAGTGGGCGTCGAAGACGGTCGACGACCTCATCGACGGTGACTACATACCCGCCCTCATCCGCCTCCTCTGGTCGCCGCACACGAGCATCCGGCAAGAAGCGCTCACCAACATTCTCAAGCTCGCGGCCAAGCTCAAAGAGTCGTCGTACGAAGAAAAGGACCAGCTCTGGCTCCTTCTCTCGGAGCTCGCCGAGTCTTCGCGGCCCCTCGTCGGCGCCGGCCCCGTCGCGTCCCCGCTCGTGGCGTTCGCGCTGCACAGCCTAGACATCTTGAAGAACCCGCTGCACTGCCTCTACGCCAAGGTCAACACGTACCTGACGCGCGCGCCCCTCTGGGCGCCGGACAAGGTGCCGCTCGCGCACGACATTCTGCACGGCGCGCCGTCCGAGGACGACAGGTACTACGCCGAGCTGACGTGGCTGCTGCAGTACCTCCTCGACGGCCTCCGCGCGCCCGGCGACGTCGCCGTGCTGCACCACCGCAAGTGGTTCGAGAAGATCCTCGCGCTGGCGGCGAACCCGTACCTGCGGACGAACCTGACGACGCGCGTGCTGCGCATCGTGTACCGCGCCACGTGCGTCGACGGCGGCAGCACGACGCTCGCGACGCGGTTCGGCGTCGTCAGCTGGTTGGCGGCGCAGGAGGCGGGCGCGGGCGGCGACGAGGCGGCGCTGTGCAGGGCGCTGCGGAGGCGGGTCTGGGAGACGTGTGATCAGGCGCGTGTCGGGGCGTGGAGTCGGGGCGGGATCGCGGAGGAGCAGCAGGTTGGATGAAAGACGAGGGTGCATTGCGATGTGTTGAAGCTTGTAGCCGTTCATAGGTCCGAATGCTGACCCGTCGAGGGGGCATTATGGAACCAACTTGACCTTTCAAAATATACTGGCACTATTTGTCCATTGTTCAAATGGCAGTCTATCTCTGTGAATCTAGTATATTTGACAGGAGAATTGGCGACAGGGAGTGTTGGATGCATATCGTACTATCCATGATAGGCTCGGGACATGCACAGGGATGGTTTGTACCTTACCTTGAGGTAGGTAGGTAGAGGCGAGGACAGCCCAGTAAGAGTCCATTGGCGAGGCTATTGATGTGCCATGCTCCATGACGGGCACGGTCTCAGACGGGAGCTCGCGGCAGCAGATGGTCGGCCGTGGAAAACGAGATGAGAAACAACTTTTTAGACACCAGTCTGCACCCTTTGTCATTTGAGGAGCAACTACGTACATGCATGGTCATCTCGACGAAATAGAGAAATGCCGTGGTCTCCCTGTTGTACACTATGCCTGGATGCGACATGTGAGGTCACGTAGCTACATATCAAATGCCACATGGTTGCAGGCAAAAGTTTTGAGACAGAAAGAGGTTCTTTGGGCATCGAGGTTGCGAGGGTCAATTCTCACGCTCCTAATCGGCATGGTACGGATACCTCATTCGAAACCTACTTGCTCCCCATGCTCGGCGTCTCGTCTGAGTGTTCAGCGTACTTGCAGAAAATGCTACGCTCTGAAACTGTCAGTGCTTGGTTTGGGGCAGAGTGAAGAGGTCTTCCACACGTAGTGCGCAGGCAACAGATAATAGGTATGGGGGTGTACCGCATCTGAAAACCGGCCATCCACAGCTTGTGTAGCCCTCCGCAGTCCTTATATACACATTTTTCGTGTCCTTTAGCCCCCTATCCGGCCCCCTGGTTGATGCCTCCGCAGGGCCACCTGACAGAAACCGCCTAACAAATATCGTCCAACTCGAACCTCAACTTCCGAAGCCTCTCAAGAACTCAAATCTGTACAAAATACTCAGAGATTTCCGAACGAAATCTCCGGGTATGCTTTTTTCTTATCATACCGGATTTGATAGCATTGAACCTCGGGGAAATGTGAGAACACGGATCAAAGTTATTTCGCCTTTACGTAGTTTTCCATAGCGCGACTTCTTATTTGTCACCCAACTGCCGAGTTGTCAGGAGGCACCTATGGAACCACGAGTAAGGGTGCCAGTTAGGGCCTGGGGACTGCGAGAGTGCGTATATCAGGCTGTCGAGGGCCCTCGTAGCTGCGGAGAGCCAGAATTCAGATGTGCTCTTATCTCATCACTACTAAGTGGCTGCGGATATGACGTGTGGAAGACCGCTTCGCTCTGTTCATCTTACGCTCTGACGCAGGTACTATACATACCTAGGTAGTCATCATCTCCGACCTCTTGCCCTGAGGCTACGTTGGATGTGAAGCCTGAGCTGGTACTGCCCTCACCTGATCTCGGTCGGGGCAGTGAGCCCAGTGTATTCTCACGTAGCCCATGACTTTTTTTGGTGTTAGCTGTTGGGTCAATTGCCCGAAAGACAGGTCAAAACAGATTTCGGCATGGTACGATTCGTATGATCCAACACAACAACAAGCTCAGACTGAAAACACTCCACTATTCGAGCCGCCTGCTCTGTTGTTTCCTTGGGGAGTCGGTCAAATATTCATCGAACACGATCAGCAATCTCATATAAACGTATTGTGTCGCGATTTCTCTCTCTCTCTTCCCTTGCGTCTACCTGTCTACCTCACTCGACACGTAGGCGGTAGGGTCCTTGTCGAGAAGGGGGCTACAGCAGCGGCTCAAGTCTTTTGATATTTTGCAGGATAATCGATGCCCTTGACCCCTTTCTCTCATCGTACTTCTCTCTCTTTCTACCATATCCCTTCGTTGGTCTCTAGATGCCCTCTGTATCCCTTCATCTCTACTATGGTTTCGTTGGTACAACGTCCCCAGTTCACACCGAAAATGGCTTCTCCTTTCCAGCCCTCTGGGGTTCCTAACAGGGAACAAGCTGGCTAACTTACGCTTCGCACGCCCTGCTCATCGGCTCCACCATGACCAGCATGAACCTACTCGCTATGCTCGCGGTGCTGATCAGCTCAAAGATACTACGCTTGCTTTCCAGTTCCATCGCCAGTCAACTGCATCGTTCCAGGGTGCAGATTCAAGCTTCGGATGCTGGCTGAGAGACGACACTACGCGCAAGAAAGGGGGGATCATCCCCTGGACCTTAAGCCACGTCGCATTGGCCCTTTGCGCAAAGCTCATCCTTGCGAAAGACGGAGTGAACGAGCCGCATGGCACCAAGAATGACGCCATGAAGAGGCGGCATATTGGTTTGAGAGATCCTGCAATATACGCTCCTGAGCTGGGTGGTTGGCCATGTCGCCAGTATAGGTCCTGGAATGCACGCACTGCGCAGACAGGCTTCTAGAGACGGTCTTCAAGTCCACCAGCGTCAGCGAGGCGACGGCACGCTCGTATCTTGACGTCCACCTCATCCTTGCCTACTGGATCCATTGGCACAGGTTGCTGTAAGGGGCGGTACAGCGGCCGCAGATGACCTTGCGCGCGTAGAGTCGCCGGCCCCCTGTGTTGCGCATCGGCCCAAGTGCTGTCGGACATGCGTAATTCCGAGACCCCACCATGCGCAACGGGGCTGGAGATAATGGCGTACAGGAACAAGCGCCGTCATCGGAACTTGTTACATGTAACCCGCAGGTAGGCTTTTCAGTAGACGAGGATGCTCCGGACTCTTTGAAATCCACCTGGTCCAGACCGTCGCGCAGTCTGTATGCGTCACGGCCGCGCGAGAAGACAGACAAGTACTCCATTCCTCGCAACAGCCCGCGGGTTGCTTTGGACTGCTTGATGAGACTGTAGCTAGGGCAGAGTGCGGTCCCGTTTCATGGACAAAGAGCGGCAGCGTGCCTCGCTCTTGAGCCGCGCACCTTGTCGAGATCGTCGTACCGGGCATACTTCAGCACAGACACAAACTCCACAGGGCTGCAGAGGTTTTGCACCCAGTAGGCTGGGCTGAGGTAGCTGGTGCACACTGGTGTACATATACCGCTGAGCGTGGAGGAGAAGGTAACGGAAGAAGGTTCGGAAGAAGAATTGTCAAAGCAAGGCAGACCCTGTAGTCATCGCTCACGGCACGCGCCTGTGCGCCGTGATAGGCATTGCCGACGCCGAGCATGCGACAAAACACAGCTCGAGCGTCCAGCTTGCTCTCCGACTCGAGAAATGGGGGTAGCCATGTCACCCCGTGAGCGGCGTGCTGTTGCGCCACCTGCTTGCGTCCCCCTCGTCAGAGGTGGACCCTGTATATGTTCTCATTTCCTTGGCACGCGAATACAGGAAAAGCTTGACTATCCTGACGCGTACCAGAATGGATGAGTGAATGGCGTTGCGGAGAAGGGTGACGTGTATGAATTCTCGCGTCAAAAGGTACCTCTCAACAATCCGATTACTGAATCAGGACCAGCCAGATGCGGTGCGCCCTCTGTTGCCGACAGTCCGACATCTACCATGCCGCCTTCCTGATTACCATACCGGCGGAGTGTGCTAGCAAGTTAACGAGGGCCATTTGCAGAGTGACGCGAAGAGGCTGCGAGTAGTCGTCCAGGCAAACTTTGGATATTTCCTTTACCACCAAAAGCTGTTTCCAAATGTAGCGTACCTAGTGAAAAGATATTCCGGGGCTTTCATTACTAGCTTTTAAAGAGAGATTATTTATTCTAGGATAGTGGATTAGATAATCTCCTCATAGAACACAGGACAGAACCCATTCATCACCCTTCTCTATGGCCTATAGCTTAGGATCATTCTTCCTATGACCCTCACGAAATCTAAGGTAGATATCAACTCATCCGGCTTCGTCTAACTTTGCGCGAAACCAGTCACTACGAACTTTCCGTCCATGGCACTCTTCGTTGAGAGACCTTTCGCTTCAGTTGACACACAGTCTCGAACCAGTAACTGGCCCTCGCCACTCTCTCAAGAACCCACCCTTGTGGAGGCCAAGGCGCGGATGCCGCAGTACAAGGGATGGGTACGGGCTAGCTAATATGAGAGGCCGGAACATATCCGGAAATCTCCGCAGAGTGTAATTTCGAGGTTTCGATTACCTTGATGATAACCAAAGTTCACTATAAGGTAGTTGAACTGACCGGAACAGAGCCACATTGCAGAAATTCAAAGAAACTATATGAAGACCGATGGTCCGCTCGCCCACATGAGTTCTAGCCCCTCGTCCAGCATGATACTCACGCATCGACAATCTCAATTCCTTGAAAGACCATACTGAAGCACACCGCCATGTTGTCTCGCAACCTTCTTCGGAACTTGTTTGGATTTCTCCTTATTTGGAGTATTGTGGCATCCCCGATTCCGCAGACCACCCCCGAACCAAGCACCACGGAACTTAACACCCCCGAACCTCCTGAAAGCTCTACTATCGATTCAGAACTCAAGTTTTGCTTTCCCTTCTGCCACCCTTTCCATCTTCCCGGCGATCCCTGGTCATCGCACACGTTCCGGCCTCCTGCCGTTCCCACTGTTCCCGCTCCTCGTCCTCTTTATGTGGATACACCGGACAACAGAGTCGCCTTACGGGTAGACACGGCGCGTGACGGTTCGGTTACCATTGTGGTCTCCGTGGGAGCTAACTACAGGCTTCCTGCCCACGCCAACCTCCATGTGCGTCTCCGAATCCGCAGTACCAACTACGACTTCAACCATGGCATTCTCACCGTCGGAAGCGAGACTGCAGCCGCACATTTTAACGCTCAACAAGCTGCAGTGTTCAGAACCGGCGATCGAGGCGAGGACGGCTCATTCGATGTCAAGATCCAATGGAAGCTGGAACAGGATCTATAACAGGTTCTGCTTCCCAAGTTCCACATGTCTTCTCTGGGGCTCTCTCTGCCATACAAGCAGGCAGGGCGCTTAGCGAGGGCATCTGAGTTCATGGGCCTTGCGGCCCTGTTTCACGATGTGTACGCTTGCCTCTCGACTTTCGAATCCAGTCCGTGCAGCTGCTGACGAAGCGCAGCGCCGCTGGCTCGAAGTATAGTCCGGGCAGTGCTCCTTTTGGACCATCGTTCTTCTAGGGTAGTTGGTAGAGGCGTCTTCGCAGACTTTGGTTCACGCCGTCTAATGCGCCTTAGGTATTATGATCTCTTGGCCAGACAAGTAGTATATGGGCGGTCATATATGATTCTATCTTTTCGAGTCTTCCTCAATATATGATCTGCTTGATATCTCATTCACGGATCGCAAAGGTTCGATGCTAAAAAAAACAGTGTCACTGCCGTCCATAGAAGAATGGCGAATTCGAAGCCGGGAAGTCGGCTGGCTGGTGCCCCTAGCCGTGAGAGCGACTGTATCAGCCAGTCAACTGCATGTGTCTCATCAGCTTGCCGCATCCAAGTACTTGGCGCCGGGAGAGGTCAAACGCGAAGATGGACAGAGAAGAAGCCTGGGAAAGCTCCTTGTTTCTGGGGCAAAAGCCAGGGCTACCGAGTTTACCTCAACTAATCGAGAATAGTGTCCAACCAGGTTATGCTTCAACAAGATAGGGACCCAAGGTAGGTACTTACCTCAAGGTTGGTAGGTAAGGGAAGCAGGGTTTATGTATTCGAGACCTTCTACGAGGTCTGTCAGAATAGAGCAATAGCCTCACTATAGCGATATAATTATATCCCGCATTGCACGGTACAGTCCGTGCTCTACGTGACCACCGAATGGCGAATGCCGTACAGTGCTGTATATGATAGGCCATGCACAGGGCGCGGCAGAAGCTCTAGCGTCGTGATCATTCCATGTCGGCTATTCCATACCTACTTATAGATGTATTCGTCTTCTTCATCTTCCACTAGCAGAGGTCTTACCTTGGATTTCGTTTGACGAGAATGAATGCCTTGCGATATTGAAACATCTCAGAGTCATAAGCTAGACCCCGCGTGTCCCTGAGCATGCCTGCCTACCTTACCTCCCTAAGGTAGGTACCTAGGTAGGTACCTAGGTAGGCAGGCAGGCATGCAAACACGATATTCTGAGTTGATGCTGACTAACTAGGCTGCATTCACCCAAACGACGTGGGCACGGGCACGTGGCCAGGGTGCAGCGGTTCGGGCAGGCGTCAGGCGTCAGGCGACAGGCGACAGACGCCAAGCGACAGGCTGCGTGCGACAGGCTGCGACAGGCGAGCCAGGTACCATGTACCTCGTCCGGCCTTGCCTCTCGTTCGGCCTTGCCTTAGCTCACTCACTACCTACCCGACCTCCTCCAACACGTCTGACCTGGGAACCACCAGCCATCGATCCCATCGTCGAAACCCAGACGCTTCACAATCCTCACCGTTGAACATCCTCGCCAACTGCTCGATTGCGTGTCGCTCCATCAAATCCTCGCCCTGCACCACTGCCCTGACTATCCTCCAAACTCAATTCCGCATCCAGACCACACACCCCTACGCCAAATACACCGCTTCCCCTCCACTCACCCACGCACACACCCTTTACTCTGGTCGGACGACGTCGATCCTGCTGCTCGACTTGACTCGACCCAGAGCTCGCCGCTCTGCGACTCGGCGTCGCAACCTCCCCCCCCAAACTCTCGACGACGAACAACTCGCATCGACTCTATTCCTCAACCATCAACCCAAACTCCTCCTGCTGACTCCTCCCATTCTCGACGACACAACCAGCGCCCAGTGCGTCTCGACCTGATTGAACCCCCCCCCTTTCGGGCTGCTTCCACCGCCCGCCAAGACAACAACGCTGCCCTCCGTGCGCGAAACCTCCCTCAGCCCAACCTGCGCGCTCACATGAGCCTTGCGCTTCCTCTACAAAATGGCACTCCGTTACACAACCGAGCTCCTCTTCCACCTCCGCCAGTCGCCACTATGCACCAAGCCCGCCAGCCTTCCTCCCGCTGAGGATTGGATGGGGTGAGTGACGATGCGTTCTACGTCCATCTCAACACGATCAAAACTGACCGTCACCCAAGCCCTCCTCCAGATAACACACGTACCCAGACCAAGACTACCGCCGACAGGCGATCCCACGATGCCTCCCTCCTTGACCAGACAAACAGGCGCCCGGGTGTTGAGCGCCACATGTCCCGAAACAGCGCAAGTACGTCACACCCTCTACGCTCACAACTCTCCGTGCAACAGCGCAGCGCTAACGAAGTGTACACAGACCCGGAAGACATTATACTCGGACCTCCTCGAACCTCCTTTGCCTCTGCCGGCGGTCTCCGCAACAGCGGCACCGCCACTGGCACCCGACCCTTTGACGCCGACAAGGACTCCAAAGAGCCCGACGCCCGCGATCGCTTCAACTTTCGCAACAGTCGCAATGGCGACTCGGAACTCGGCGACCGGTTCCGCGACTCGAGGAACAGCAAC